TGGGCTTGTGCTCGCAAGAGGCCCAGCAGTGAGAACTTAACTTTTTCCCTTTTGCTCAAGTGCTCAGCTGTGAAATTAACACTAGGTGAGGGGACGGAGGGAGGCAGGGTGAGAGGGGCAGGGCTCTTTTTGTAGAGAAAGCCCAGCAGGAACTCATTAGCATAATAGGCCACACCCAACAGCAGGAACTCATTAGCATAATGGGCCACACCCCTGACAGCACAGCTCATTAGCACATTAGGCCGCACCCCCATGTTACCAGAAGTGTGGTCATCCAGCCACACCCACCTTTTGCTTCTTATTCTGTTGACCTTGTTTGTTGTCAAAACCCAGGGCCTTTTCTTGTAGCAGGAACTCCTTTGCATGTTAGGCCACACACCCCTAATGTAGCCAACCCTGATGAGTTCCTGCTGTTGGGTGTGGCCTATTATGCTAATGAGTTCCTGCTGGGTGTGGCCAACTTGGGAGCCAGCCGGAACTCACGTTCCTGCCCAAAAATAGCCCTGGAGAGAGGGCTGATTAGTATCTGGCGGACTCGGGTTCAAATCCCAACTTGTGCCATGGGAACTTGCGGGGTAACCTTGGGCCAGTCCCGCTCTCGCAGCCTGACCTACCACACAGGGTTGTTGTGAGGACAGAATGGAGGAGAGGAGGAGAACAATGTAAGCCGCCGTGGGGCCCCACCGAGATGAAAGTTGGGGTACAAATGAATTGAAGAAATAATTGTTTTCCACTGTTGAAGGGGTTTGTTTCCTTCACTTCCACCCCAACCGGGGACCCCCAAGGCGGCTGATGCCGTTTCCCTCTCCTCCATTTTATCCTCACAACAGTCCTGCAAGGTGGGCGAGGCTGAGGGCAAAGTTTCTGCAGCTGGAGGTCTGAGTAGGCCAGTTGTGAGGCCGAAAGACTCTGTCTTTGATGCCAGGAGGTATCCCCGGAGCCTCCCATGTGACCTTGAAGAAGCAGATGCCACTGGCCATGTGCAAAGTGCCCTTGCGAGTCCCAGTCGCTTCTGTTGATCCAGACATGCCCCCGTTGCTGGACTCTCAAATCATTCTTCTTCTTCTGTATGGCTGCTCCCCTGGGGGGCATGCCTTGAGAGTTTTTAGGGGACTTCAAAGTTCAACTTCCTCCCCTCTGGAAGTGAAGCCTCTGAGCAGGAAAAGATGCCAGTTTGGTTTCGTGGTTAAGTGGGTGGACTCTAATCTGGGAGAACCAGGTTTGATTCCCCACTCCTCCACATGCAGCTGCTGGTGTGACCTTGGGTCAATCACAAGTTCTCTCAGAGCTGTTCTCTTAAGAGCCGTTTCTGCCAGAGCTCTCTCAGCCCCACCGACCTCACAGGGTGTCTGTTGTGGGGAGGGGGAGGGAAAGGAGTTTGTGAGCTGCTCTGAGACTCCTTTGGGTAGTGAAGGGCGGGGCATAAATCCAATCTCTTCTTCTCTCTTGGGCACCAGCATAAATGTCCACACCCAGTGTGCTGTCTTTTTTCCCTTTAACAGAACTTGATTGAATTAAAACGGAAAGACAAAGGACTAGCTTGGGCAGTGGTAGAAATTACATCTCTCAAGAGCAGTCCTTGAAAGAGCTCTCTCCGCCCCACCTACCTCACAGGGTGTCTGTTGTGGGGAGGGGAAAGGAGTTTGTAAACTGCTCTGATACTCTGAGGGAAGGGCGGGGTATAAATCCAGTCTCCTTCCCCCCCCCTTCTCCTTCTCCTTGTAGCATAGCCTGGACAGGCTGCTGTGTAGGTAGGGAAGTTTGGGTTTTTCTGGCCGCAGCCACGCGACACCTGCTTTTCCTCTGGTTTTTTTAAAAATTATAATTTAATATCATTATAATGTCATAACAATCTGCATATCAGCTTCTTTGAATTCCCAGCTTTTGTTTTTTAGAAAAGTAAGGCTCGGGCCCCCTTTGGTTGTAGGTACATGCCTTTCCCCTTATATCTCTGCAATGAAAGGGGCACTTAGAAGAAGAAGAAATTGGATTTATACCCCGCCCTTCACTTCCCAAGGAAGTCTCAGAGCGGCTTACAAACTCCTTTCCCTTCCCCTCCCCACAACAGACACCCTGTGAGGTGGGTGGGGCTGAGAGAACTCTGACAGAAACTGCTCTTTTTCAAGGACAGCTCTTATCAGAGCTACGGCTTGCCCAAGGTCATCCACCAGGTGGAAGTGGGGGAGGAGTGGGGAATCAAACCCGGTTCTCCCAGATTAGAGTCCGCACACTTAACCACGACACCAAACCTGGAAATTCAGAGAACGTGATACATGGCTTGTTAGGATACTATATCTAATATAATAATATTAAGACCATAAGAACAGCCAATGTTGGGTCACATGGATATTCAATTGTCAGCTAAAAAAAAGCCCTGAAAAGACCAGTGGTGGGAGGGGCTGTTCTGGGGGGTGGGGGGGGGGGGAGAGGGCCTGTCCTGCAGAGGAGGAGGCCTGTCCTGCAGAAGTCCCACTGCCACTGTGCAGCATCAGGAAAACCACACCAGACAGTCCCCAGGTGGAAACGACTCACGGCCCCTCTGCCAGGGCATATGAGGCTACCGCAGACCCTGGGCCCCAGCCTGCTTCCTAGTTTCTTCTCTGCCTGGCTGCGGCTTTCTAGGGCAAGGGTGTCGAACTCATTTCGTCGTGAGGACCAGATCTGACATAAACGAGACCTTGTTGGGCCGGGCCACGTGTGTCATAAAAGGTAATGCCAGGTAGCGGAGATATCAACTTTATAAAGGACACAAACACAAAGGATTTTTTTTTACTTAAAATAAAAACATGCTAAAAACATTAGCTCTGTAAACTGCAAACCTACTTTTGATTTATTGACATTCACCAGAGAAATCTCATGCTCAAGAGTTCTGAGTGCAGGACCCAGGTTAAAAACATGAAATGGTTGAATGATTAAGAGAGTCTGGCGAAGCAAGCGATGATGCAGCAGCAGTAGCAGCAGAACTGGAAGCAGGAGACAGTCAGTTCCACTGCGAGCCTGATAAAAGCTTTCCGGGGGCCTGATCCGGCCCCCGGGCTGCACGTTTGACACCCCAGTTCTAGGGTGTGAGAGACAGAGGGAGGCCTCTCCCAACACCTGAGGTCCTTGAACGGGAGGTGCTGGGATCGGGGCCTTCTACATCCCTCTCAGCATGTCTATCAGTCTTGTGAGGGTGGTGCCAGTTGGTCTAGCCCTGAGAGTGTCAAGTTAGCCAAGCCCACCCCATTCCCTGAAGCTGGTGGAGGTCAAGCCTGCCCCCCCATGCCAGCCGCCCCCCTTCCGTGGCACACACACACCCCGTCGAAAGGGGCCCAGAGCTGCACCGTCCTCGCGCAGGGGGGCCCCTGTCCTCCAAGCCTGGGAAAGAAAGCCAACTTCGGCCAGACTTTCCCCGCCAGGGAAAGGGGGCAATTATTTTCGGGAGGCAGGAGAGCCCCCGCCGGCCTCCCTCCCCGGAGCCAGTGTTCCCTCTAAACTGAGTTAGTGTGAGCCAGCTTACAGTTTCTTAGCCTCCGGATCACAGATTTTTGTCTCAGCTCAGAAAGGAGGGCTCCAGAGCAAACTAGTTCATGCAGGAGCCAAATTGGTCGCTCACAACTTTACTGCCAGGAGCTCACAAAGTAGAAATTTTGCTCACAGGACTCCACAGCTTAGAGGGAGCAGTTCCCCTTGTTTCCTGCCTCGGGAAGAGGCTTTTGCAGCCAGGCTCGGGAGGGGGGAGCCTGCCTCTTTGGTGGTGTGTGTGTGGGCATGCCTGCGTACTCTTCCCCTTGAGTTCGAATCAAGGCAGCCCCCGCAGCCCGGACGGCTCCCTCCCGCCGGCTCTCCTTTCCTTCCCGCTCCGACGGCCAATCCCGCTTTCTCTCCGCGGCGCCTACCTCGCCGGGCTGGCGTGCGTCTGAAAGAGCGGAGCGGAGGAGCGGGAGTCTCTGGAGGACTCCGGCCCAGCTCCCGGGAGGGAAGGGCGGGAGACGGAGGCGCTGGCCGGGGAGGGTCGACGAAGGGCTTCCCGGCCACGGCTCGCGTGGGTCGGGGGCACAGGGCAGCCCGCTTGCACGGCCCAGCGATAGGGGGGTGTCCGGGAGGGGGGGAGAAGCCGCTGCCTCCGCAACGGGGTGGGCTGTGGATGGATGCCAATCTCCCGGAGGGACCTGGGGATCCCCTGGAACGACGGCTCCTCTCCAGACCACAGAGACCAGCCCCCCCCCCGGAAAATGGACGCTTTGCCCTTGTGCCCCAGTGAGGTCCTGATCCTCCCTCCCCCAGGCTCCACCCCCAACTCTCCAGGAGTTTCCCAACCTGGATCTGGCCAAGGCGGATTCACAACAACAAGAAGAAGAGATTGGATTTATACCCCGCCCTTCACTACCCAATGGAGTCTCAGAGCGGCTCACAAACTCCTTTCCCTTCCCCTCCCCACAACAGACACCCTGTGAGGTAGGTGGGGCTGAGAGAGCTCTGGCAGAAACTGCTCTTTTTCAAGAACAGCTCTGACAGAACTACGGCTTGCCCAAGGTCACCCAGCAGCTGCAAGTGGAGGAGGCGTGGGGAATCAAACCCGGCTCTCCCAGATCAGAGTCCGCGCACTCAACCAGGACACCAAACTGGCCCTGTGAGGTAGGGGAGCCTGAGAGCGTGTGACTGGCCCCGGGTCACCCAGCGAGCTTCCACGAGGGGTGCTGAGGGGATTCGAACCGGGGGCCTCCCCGTTCCTAGTCCGACTCACTCTGCTCGCTCTGCCCCGCGGACTCTGAGGGCTGCTAGAAAGAAAGAAAGAAAGAAAGAAAGAAAGAAAGAAAGAAAGAAAGAAAGAAAGAAAGAAAGAAAGAAAGAAAGAAAGAGCCTCTCCTTCCCGCCCTCCCCGCCCCAGGCTCGCACCGCCCTGGCCCAGCCCCCCGGGCGGGGAGGGAGGGAAGGAGGGAGGGAGAGAGGCACTGGGGTCTGCCCTCCCTTCCCCACCCCTCCCTGCCGGCCCCCGCATGAAACCCGCTTTCCTGCAAGCGGGCGGGCCAGAGACGCTGCAGAAGAGCTGCTGCCGCCGCCGCCGCCCGGTGAGTGAGTCCCTGCCCGGCCTCGCCTTCGCTGCCCCGGACGGGGAGCAACAGGAGGCGCCGAGGAGTTGGCCTGGGGCGGCCGGGAGGAGGGTTGCCAGCCTCCAGGTGGGGCCTGGGGATCTCCCGGAACCCCCGCTCCTTCCCGGAACAGAGCAGGAGTCCCGTGGGCCCCCGGGAGACCAAGAGGGTTTGGTTCTGCGCGGGTGCTTCCGAGGGGAGGGTGCGTGCGCGGGGACGCGTCTGCCCAGGATGAAACCGAGCGGGTCTTCGGGGTGCCCACCGGACGCCAGCTTTCTTCTGCTGCCTGCCTGCCGCAGACCAGCCCGGCCAACCCCCTGAACCGAGCTCCCCGCCCCTGGAGAGAACCGTTGCCTTGGGAGGTGGTCTCTAGGGCACTGCACTGCCCCCCACTGAGGCCCCTGCCCCCCCCCCCCAGGCACCATCCCCAAAACCACCTGGAGATTCCCAACCTGGAACTGGCAAGCCTTTGCTTCCCGTCCCCCACCCTACCAGTGAACCCCCCCTCTCCTTCAGAAACACAGCCCTTCTCAGTTGGGGGGTGGGGAAGGGAAACCTAGCCACCCCCCAGCCTGTATAATTCGAAGAGATTGGAGCCAGTTTGGTGTGGCGGTTCAGTGCGGGGACTCTAATCTGGGAGAACCGGGTTTGATTCCCCACGCCTTCACTCGCAGCTGCTGGGTGACCTTGGGCAAGCCACAGTTCTATCAGAGCTGTCCTTGAAAGAGCAGTTCTCTCAGAGCTCTCTCAGCCCCACTTACCTCACAGGGTGTCTATTGTGGGGAGGGGAAGAGAAAGGAGACTGTAAGCCGCTCTGAGACTCCTTCGGGTAGTGAAGGGAGGGGAATAAATCCAGTCTTCTTCTCGTCCTCCTCCTCCCCCTCCTCCTCCTCCCAATGAACTGCTGGCAGGAGAACACCCAGGAGAGACTCAGGCCTTGCTACCAAAATGCCCTCTGGGAAACCCCCCCCCCCTGAAACCCCCTGCCCTGGAATGCCCGGATGTGAACTGCCTCAGCTGGGGAGAAGAAACCACGCTTCACCTATGCTCAGAGGCACTGTGGCCTCGGCACTGCAAACAGGCTTTGGGGGTGGCAGAACCAAAGCTCATTTTCGGGACATCCAGGCGAAGGTCATGCAGCCAGGCAAAGGCTCCCGCTCCCATCCAGTGTTACCTCTAAGCTGAGCTAGTGTGAGCTAGCTCACAGTTTTTTAGCCTCCAGCTCACACATTTTTGTCTTAGCTCGGGAAAGGATGGCTCCAAACGAATTTATGCAGTAGCCAAATCATTCGCTCACAACTTTAATGCCAGCAGCTCACAAGGTACAAATTTTGCTCACAAGACTCCACAGCTTAGGGGGAGCACTGGTCCCATCTGGTGTGCATAAAGGACTGGGTGTGTTGGCGGGCTGCCCCCTTGCCAGCTAGCCGCAGATCTTTTTTCCATTGACTGGCAGTGCGTGGCAAGATGGGCAAACCATGCCTGGTGCTGACTTGGCTTTTCATGCCCTAGTGCCTGATGACCCCCCCCCCCGCCACGCTCCTGAGTGTTTGGCTTGCGGATAAGAAGAGGTGCCAGAAAGAGAGAGAGAAAGAGAGAGAGAGTTTCCCTATGCAGGCATGGACTTCTAGCGCCAGGTCCGAGGCTGCCAAATGTGGGTGGAAAAGCCACTCCGCCGTGCCCTCTCTCCTCCGTCTCTCTGTGCCTTACTTGCTGGCGTTGGTTGCCCTGAGTTCAAGTCTCTCTCCCTGCGCTGATGAACAGCGTGAGGTTTCCTGGACTCTTTGGTCTCTGGAGCCTGGGGCCTCTTTGCTTCTGGCTGACTCTGGCCTCGGGCTGCGATGGGGGAAAGGAAGGGCCAGCCCGACCGCGGGGGGGGGGGGATCTAGCAGCCGCCTGGTGCAGCAACAGTGGCGTGGTAGCCATGAAAGTGTGTTCAACCTGAAGGGTTTGTGGTAATGCCAGAGATCCTGGTGTGCATGCAGTTTGGTGTGGTGTCTACGTGCGCGGACTCTAATCTGGGAGAACCGGGTTTGATTCCCCACTCCTCCACGTTCACCTGCTGGATGACCTTGGGCAAGCCGTAGTTCTGATAAGAGCTGTTCTTGAAAAAGAGCCCTTTCTGGCAGAGCTCTCTCAGCCCCACCTGCCTCCCAGGGTGTCTGTTGTGGGGAGGGGAAGGGAAAGGAGTTTGTGAGCCACTCTGAGACTCCGAGTGAAGGGCGGGGTATAAATCCAATCTATTTCTCCTCCTCCTCTTCTCCTCCTCCTCCTCCTCTCCTTCTTCTTCTTCTAGGGCAGAGCCTGTACTTGGGTCATGCTGTACGTTGGCTTGGGCAGAAAAGAGTCTTTGACAGACTCGTGGGGTTGGATCCTGCTGATCCGTTCTTGTGCTGGGGGCACACTCCTTTGGCGAAAGGGACTTTCCACTCAGTGGGAGGGCTTCTAGTCTCCTGGCCCCACTGCTGACACAGAGTGTTGGACTGGAGGGGCCACTGGCTTGATCCAACATTGGCTTCTCTTATGTTCTTATAGGAACTCTCAGTCTGGGGCAAGGGATGCTCTGTCTTCTTGGTGCTTGGGGGGGAGGGCAACAGTGGGAGGGCTTCTAGTGTCCTGGGCCCCACTGGTGGACCTCCTGATGGCTCCTAGTACTTTTGGCCACTGTGTGACACAGCGTGTTGGACTGGATGGGCCACTGGCCTGATCCAACATTGGCTTCTCTGATGTTCTTATAAGAGGGAATTGGATAAGCATATGGAGCAGAGGTCCATTGGGGGCTATTAGCCACAAGGTACAGATGGGAACTCTCAGTCTGGGGCAAGGTTTTCTGTCTTCTTGGTGCTTGGGGGGGGGGCAACCGTGGGAGGGCTCCTAGTGTCCTGGCCCCACTGCTGGACCTCCTGAGAGCACCTGGTCTTTTTGGCCACTGTGTGACACAGAGTGTTGGACAGGAGGGGCCACTGGCCTGATCCAACATTGGCTTCTCTTACGTTCTTAAGGGCCTCTTGGGTCAGAGGAAGACTTCTCCTTGTGCCAAGGGAAAACGCCCTCAGGATCTGACCCAAGGCTCTAACCTTTTTACCTTGTACCTGAGGCCTCCTGGCCCTCTCCCGTCCAACCAGGAACTTTCCTGCCCAGGGACGGGGGAACTCCTCCAGGATCCTCAGCTGCTCCCACTGATGCCGTTCAGAGTCTCAAGGCCCTTGAACTTCCCGCAGCGCCCAGATGGGCAAAGACTGGCTGCAGTCTAGTGTGAACAAAAGGCTCTCTGCACGTGGCCAGAGATGCTCTCTGCTAGTTTCTTTGTTGCTTTTTTTTAGGCCAAAGCTTGGTGCTGAAAGCAGATTCAAACTTCTGGGGCCGCCCCAGTCAACTTTGTTTGTCATTTTGCTCTGGTGGGCTATAAAGAAGCGGTTGTCAGAGCTACCTTGAAAGCGTTTCGGGAAGCCCTGTGGATAAATGGCGGCGGCGGAACCCCCGGTTTGATTGCAGCTCCGGTTTTGTTCAGTCCTCTGGTTCGAACCCGTTACCCCTGCAGAGCAGAGCAAGGTGATCAAATCAGCTCCACAGCGGAATGAGCTCTCTGGTCTGCCTCTGGTTTTGTGGGGAGCTATTTCCAAGCAGACCGAGGTCTGGGCTGCGGCTTTAATTGCCCCTGGGCTAGTTCCTGGCCCGGCGGAGAGGGAGAGTTCTCCGGTTACAGGACTTTTAAAAGCAGAGCAGATTTTGGGGAATATGTTCTGCATCTATGGAAGAGGAAGAAGGGGGGGGGAGAGAGAGCATTTGCATGCTGAGCTTGAAGAAATGGGTGTGCACAAAAGTTGGCAGGCTGGGGAGGGGTTGCGAGAGAGGCCACGGATGCGATGGACTCCTCGGTCAGGTCCAGGGGCCCGGGCGGTGCAAGTGGCGAGCGGCAGACGGCTCCGTCCGCACTCAGGGGAGCCAGAGCACAATGGATTCCAGCAGAGAAATACCTCGACATCTGTCTGCCTGGCGAGTCGGAAAGTTTGGAGCCCCGCCCCCGCATCCGGCTAGGCTGGGGCTCAGCCAGGGATGGCTTTCCGATCGCCTTGGCAGGCTGCCTCTGGACATGGAGGTTCCACCATTGACTGCCCTGGACTGTAAGAGAGGGAAGAGCTGTGTGGCCTTCAGGACCTGCTTGCGATGGGGGAGGAGGTGCCAGTTTAGCGGTACCTGGGGGCCCATCAGCTGGGATCTGGGAAAAGCCCTCTTCCACGGCCTCCTCCGAGTCTTGATTTATGGGACGCAGCGAGATCTGCAGAGGAATGTGGGGCGGGACAGAATGGACTGCTAGGAGATGACATCTTTCCCTTATGGGTTTCCAGATCTCCGATCCCTCTCTGGATGGGCGGCTGGGAATTGCAGCGAGGCGGCCTTGCGCTTGGGCCTTACGTCAGCTTGCTAGTCCATGGTGGCTTGTTTGGATTAGTGGGGCAGGGACGAAGGGGGGGGAGGCCAGATTTTGAAAGGCGGTGCAGTTTTGGCTGGCTGTGCTCCTTCTCCATCAGTGTTCCCTCTGAGTGAGCGTGAGCTGGCTCACCGTTTTTTAGCCTCCGGCTCACACATTTTTGTCTCGGCTCAGGAAGGGTGGCTCCAGGGCGAACTAATTTATGCAGTAGCCAAATGGCTCGCTCACGACTTTAATGCCAGGAGCTCACAGAGTAGAATTTTTGCTCACAGCACTCCACACCTTAGAGCAGGAGTCATTTCCTGCAGGAGCGCACAGGAGCGGAGCTCCGGCAGGAAAGAGCCCAGGGGGCGGGCACATGCAACAAGCTCCACCCCCTGCTCCCAGCAGCCCTCAGTCAGAGCAAGAAGCAGTCAGGTAAGGTGCAGAGGCCCCCCCCCAGTCTAAAACAGTCCAGTGGCACCTTGAGAACCAAGTTTTATTCAGGTACAAGCTCTCCCTCCTCTTCAAGGACAGATCTGCATTCCCCCCCCCCCCCAAAGCTCGC